GGTATGATTCTTTTAATTCTTTTGGGAAGATCCCCAGCAGGGGAATAGCTGGGTCAAATGGGACCTCTAGCCCTAGTTCTTTGAGGTATCTCCATACGAATTTTTAATAAATACAATAATGGTTATTATGATGCCTGATATCCTACTTAACATCCTTATGTTTTACTAAAGGATGAATATTCTAATAATTTGCAACTAGGATATATCTTTTCTGTCATTTCTTATTTAATACTATGTAGAATTTATATGTTTTTAAAATTATTTAGTTCTTAGGATGCTTGCCATTTAACACCAAGTATTAGGATGCTTTCCATTAACAACCAAGTCTTGGTTGTTGATTTCTACTCTTCTGTATCAAGTGTCAATATTACCAGCATAACTAAATACTCCTTTAATGATCAGTTTGTCAGATATTAGCTCATTTAATAATTACCCGATGCTGGCAATCTTTCTTCTTTGATTTACATTGTATGGGTATTAAGGATATACTTGATTTTAGTTTCTAGTGGTAAATAAAGCCACCTCTAAGTAAATCACAACCCAAATGAAACTAAATGCCCAAATTAGTCACTTAACATATCAGTTTCAGATGATTAATTTTGTGAGAATGTGAACTGTATTTTAGGGCTGTCATTGGTTAGCATTTATTTTTATAGTAAACTTTAGTTAAATTGAATGGAAATCTTATGTGGTATAATAACTATAAAGACTGATGAGTTTTAGTTAATTCAGCGAGGCTATTTTTAACAAATTGGAATTGATAGTGTTTGATTTATGTCTTATTTTAGCTTATAAATATATTGTGATTTGTAAGTAAGCCTTTGGTTTAAATTATAAGTATACAGTGGTACCTCAGTTCATGAACTTAATTTGTTCTAAGATTTTGCAAAAGATGGCTACATTTGTGTTTGTGTGAGAAAGATGACCGTAGTTGTGTTTGTCATCCAATAAAAAGTTTGCAAACAAAAATAAGATTTTGCCAAACTCTTCTGTTTGCAAACAAAACTGTTCGTGAACTGTGTATAACTGTATAAGTTAACCTGAGTTGATTTTCTAATAGTAATTGATGAAGTAAAAATACTGTTTTATTGTAAGTTCAACTAGTAACTATTTTTAAATGGTTAGCTGAGATAACTCTTGTTCCCGTAATACCTTGAGTTTTTTCAGTGACATCACTTAGCACATTAGATGATTGAAGGGCTTTTTCATCCCCACTGTGTTTCAATTTCCTGAGGATAGGAACTGCTTTATCACTCTTATTTTCACTTTTTTTGGTTAGTACTATGTAGCACATGGGGTTTCAGTGTGTGAAGCAATATTTAATTAATTTCAAAGGACAGTATAAAACTCCAAGATTGCTCAGCACTCTGTGAAGAGGAAGAAGAGGAAGATGAAGGAGAAGCTGCAGACATGGAAGGTATTTATATTCTAAATTGGCTTTAATCTCATTAGGATGTTGATTCTGAAGTATTTGTGATCCATGAGAATTAAGAATTCTACTCTGTTGAATTTTAAATTTTAGTGTTTACCATTTTAGGAAATGTACTGTTTAGTTTTAAATTTATTAGTGCAAAACTAATTTTGATCTTGGGCTCTTGTATTACTTAGAACATATTCATGGCGGTATTATTTCTGTTGGGATAAATACTAATCATAGATCCTTTTTTTATTTTTGGGTATCGATCAAACTCGGGTCCTTGCGCTTGCGCAGCAGGCGGTGAAACCACTGAGCTAAATCCCCAGCTACTAATCGTAGATCTTTAATGTAAGATACCAATACTTTGATTATTTCAGAGCAGAACAGTTTGGTCATGTGTTTTGTATTTTCTTTCTTTGCGGTGTTTGTATCTTTCTCTGAAAAACCTTATGAATAATAATTTTTTGTTCTGTTTTAAGATAGGTTCTTGCTATGTTTCCTAGACTGGTTTTGAACTTGTGAACTCAAAGGATCTTCCTGCCTCAGCCTTCTAAGTGCTGGGACTTCAGGCATATGCCACCATGCCTGGCAAGATAGTGATTCTTAATGGGGCCTTTTGAACTACATAGCATCCCTTCATAGTTTCCTAAGATTCTGAAGTGACTCCTTCTGGGATTACCACTTAAGAATCATTGCGTTAATAAATCATTATTACAAGAGATCAAAACCCACTCTACTAGCAGAACAGATATACAGATCTATCAGTACATGATAATTCAAAATTTCCTATTTCGTTAAGATAATCTTTAATACAAGTGAAACCTCAGGTCTTTAAAAATAGATGAAGAAATTGCTATCACCAGGATTACCTCATTATTAAATCAATTCTTTACTTACCTTCTATTTATCATTTGACTCTGTTAACTATATCGTAACTATATCCTTTCTTTCTCCCACTCTCTTACATTGGATTGTCTTCTTCCTTGACTTTTTTTCTAAGTCTTTTGGGACATTTTTCTTCCTTTTTTTTTTTTTTTTAACTGTATATCCTTTTATCGGTACATTTTAGGTATACATTATAATGACATTCATCATTGGAAATTTGCACCTTTACATAATCTCTCTTGGTTCTTATTTTTTCCTCCTTCATCTGCCCTCCCTTCAACCCCTCCATCCCTCCCTATTTACAAAGACTTTGTTTCCTTTTTTTCATTTTCTCATATTAATTCCATTCCCTTCTGTCCTTTCCCCTACCCCTCCCACTTCTCCTTCACCTTTGCCCCTTTTCTTCCTATTTCACATTATCTATTATACCTTTTACTCCTTACTTACACTTTCAGTTTCTCATACTAGAGAAACTATTTGGTATTTACACATCTGTGTCCTATTTATTTCACTTAAGAGTATCCCCTCAATGTGCATCCATTTAGCAATAAATATCTCTAATTTCTCATTTTGATGGCTGAGTAGTACTCCATTTTATAAATCCAGTCTCCAGTTGATGGGCATTTGGGCTGTTTCCAAGTTTTAGCTATTACAAACTGTGATGCTGTGAACACGGGTGCACATATATCACTGTAGTATGATTCTTTTTAATTCTTTGGGGAAGATAGCCAGCAGGGGAATAGCTGGGTCAAATGGGACTTCCAGTCCTAGTTCTTTGAGGTATCTCCATACTGATTCCACAGTGGTTGCACCAGTCTTCACTCCAACCAGCAGTGGACCAGGGTTCCTCTTTCCCCACAGCCCCACCAGCATTTGTTATTGGTTGATTTCTTGATAACAGCCATTCTTTCTGGGGTGAGGTGGAATCTCAGCATTGTTTTCATTTGCATCTCTGGAATGACCAGTGAAGGTTTTTTCATATCTTTATTTGTGGGGCATTTTTCTTCTGCCTGTATATTAAATGTTACTATTTCACAGCCACCCTCTTTCTTCTGATTCCTTCCTTTCCCCAGATTTTGTCAATTCTTATGGCTTCTGTAATGGCACATGGTGGTTAGGGGTGAATATTTGCATATCAGGAGAGACCAGATTCTTAACAAGAATTTAAATATAAATATGTATGTGTGTACACATACATATATAGAAAGACAGTGTGTGTATTAGAGATGAGAAAGAGAGAGGGAAGGAAGGAAGGAAGGAATTTGAAAAAGACATAGGGCGGGCTTTGGAGTCTATGAGATAGCTGCATCCCCAAAATATATCATTTTAGGTCAAGATAGTTATGTTTTGTAGCATGCAAAAGTAGAAGTTGGTGCCAAGTAGATTTGAAGACCATAATGGCAAGTCATGATTGTAAGTACCTTTCAATTTAGTTTTCCAGATTACTTTCAAGTCTGCATGAAGTCTAGCTGTATATCTCTTCCTATGTTTTAGTGAGATTCTTGTCCTTATTTCCATGGCAAACTACCATCCCTTGAGGAAATCAGAGTGAGTCATTTGTAACCGGAGTTTCTCACAGCAGTTTCACGTACCATTTCTATGCTCAGGACTTCTATATCTAAAACTCTGCCTAGATCTCCTAAACTGCAAAACTACTTGGTCAGTTTTATTACCATCTGGATATTTCACAGTTGGTAGAAGCTGAACTCATCCTTTTTAACAATACTTTCTGGATTTGTCTGTTTCTGAATAGCATACAGTTTTGTCCAGTCTGTGATGGGGATGGGTAGAAAGAACCCCATGAGTAAAGCAATATTTTTAGAATACAAGCCGTGGAAATATCTGACAGCCTTTTAGTATGTTTGCTGCATTTTCCTTGGATAATTGAAGAATTGCTTGCTCGATGTAGAATTTTGCTTAAAAATGGTGTTTTTGATGTTTAAAAGATAATTTTCATTCATTTAACAAATATCTATTGGGCAGTACAGTATTTGTGTATCAGCAGCTTCTCAGAGCTAGAGATAAAAAGCAATAGACATGATCTCTTATGTAGATTATCATGAGAGGAGACAAACAAAAATATAGATAAACAGACTATATAATGTAGATGTTTATTGTTGGAGAGAAAAATAAGAAAAGGGGATGGGTACAGTGTTTCCATTTTTTATAAGCTGGTCAGAACAACCCCACTGAGTGCGCCATCCGAGTAGAGCCTGGAAGTGAGTAAACAAGCTGTTCAGTTATCTGGGGAAAGGGTGTAGAGACCCTCCAGTGGGAACATGTATGACTTATATAAAATAATTGCAAGGAGACTCTTCTGTAGAGGGTGGTCAGAAAGGTAACCAAGGGCCAGATTGTGTAGGTCCTAATTCAGTGTAAGAGAAGGTGACATTGGTGAGTTTTGGTAAGTAATAGAGTAACATGCTTTAACATTTACTGAAGTGCTAAGCATATATTGAAGGGGAAGAGAGTCAATAGTTAGGAGGCTATTTTGATAACCCTAGGCAAGAAATAATAGTGACTTGGGCGAGGGCAGTGATGGTGAACCTTTTAGAGATCAGTGCCCAAATTACAACCCAAAACCCACTTACAGTGTTTATTGCAAAGTGCCAGCACAGCAATTAAACCTGCTGGGGCACCTTGGCTTGCATCCCGACAGAGGGCTCTGTGTGCCCACTGAGGCATGCCTGCTGTAGGTTTGCCGCCAGTGGGCTAAGGTAATAATATCGGTGGTGATGAGAAACAGTAAAATTCTGGATATATTGTGAGGATAACGCCAAGGGGATTTGCTGCTGTATTGAATACAGGTTGTGAAAGGCGGAGTAGTCAAGTGTGACTCTCAAGGTTTTGACCTGAGTGTTTGGAAAGAATCCATTAACTGAGATGGGGAAAATTAAGGGAGATTAGCTTTGGAAAGGGAGTCAGGAGCTCAGTTTTAGAAATCTGTCTTTAGGGAGGGAATAAATTTGAGTTTCTTCATTATTTAAAGCCGTTGAAACAAAATCACCAGTGGAGTGAGTGTGGTTAGAGAAGAGCCAAGGTCTAAGAATTGACGCCTTAGTTACCACTGAGTACTACAGTGCTCCTCTCCTCTCCTGCCTTCTCCTCTCCTCTCTTTTCTTCCTCTTTTTCTTTTCCCTCTCTCACTCACTGACTCCCTCCCTCCCCTTCCTTTCTGAGCTAGCATAAGAGATACAGAAGGAGCAGCCAATAGGGTGGGAGGAAAGCAAGGAAAATAAAATATCTTAAAAGCTAAGAAAAGGAAGTGCTCTAGGGAGGAGGGAATAAATCATGCCAGATGTTTCTGAGAGGTCAACTAAGATGGAAACTGAGAATTTACCACTCGATGGAGCAAAGTGGAAATTACTGATGACTTTCATATTTTATATTGTTACTGTCAGTAGTCCCCTCTTATATGCAGTTTTGTTTGTGATGGTGTTAGTTATTCATGGTCAGTTATAGTCTGAAAATAAGAAATGGAAAATGCTAAAAATAAGAAAAAGTCATGTTTTAAATTCCATGACAGTCTGAATAATGTGATGAAATCTCATGCTATTCCTCTCTGTTTCATATATGAGATGAGTTATTTTTTTTTCTCAGTCTACTCTTACTGTATATGATACTTGTTGGTTAGTCACTTAGCCATTCAGTTATCAGGTCAACTATCATGGTATCACAATGTTTCTCTGTTCAAGTAACCCTTATTTTCTTAACGAAGGCCCCCCTCAACACACAACAATAGTAGTGCTGACAATTCAGATATAGCAAAGACATGCAGTAAGTTTTTCCTTTAGGTAAAAAAGTGAAAAGTTTTTACTGAATAAAGAAAGAAAAAATTGCACACTGAGGTTAAGATCAGATAAGAATAAATATTTTGTCTGTAATATTGTGAAGAAGTTGTTCATGCTAGTTTTGCTGAGTGTGCCTCAAACTGCTAACGTTAAGGCTTACATTTATGATAACAGCTTAGTTAAGATGAAAAACCATTAAGTGTACAGTTCTCTACTATCTGTGGTTTCAAGCACCCAGTGAGAGTCTTGAGGTAGAATCTCCCTCAGGTAAAGAAGCGACTCTTGAATGTAAATAAACCTGTATATACTGCACAGCTGTTGAGCATTCCTTAGTGTTATTATGTCAGTAGATGTATCTAATAGACTAACGCAAACCAGGAGTAAACATGCTGACTTTCTCTGGCCTTTTGTCATGCAAATTATTTCGAAAATATAGAATTAACTCATTTGTATTTAACTGAAGATACTTAATAATATCTTAATATATATACATATATAATGCATATATATAATATATATAGTATACTTAATAATATACTTAACAGTATTTCAGTTAAAAACAAAAATAAAACCCCATATTTTGAATGATACTCTAAAGTAATACATAATTTTGTTTGGGGAATTTTCTTGAACTTGATTAATCTTTTATTTATTTTTATGACAGAATATGAAGAAAGTGGATTGTTGGAAACAGATGAGGTTTGTAAATTGAGTTATTCTAATTTTTAATTAGTGAACTTGTATTAGAGTAGTATTTTTATTAATGACATTGATCTTTCAAAAAGTTTTATATTCTTGTTTATATTGGTTAGAGCATATAAAATTTGAATTGTCTATAAAAGTATATATCATATATACAATGGTACCTTCTTGGGTCATGAATGCTTTTTTTGTGAACAACTTGGTACGCACACAGAAGCATTTGGCAAAATTTTGTTTTTTTTCTTCGCAAACTCTGCATCCAGTGACAAACACAATCATGGCCATCTTTCCTAAATCATGAAATGAATTAAGTTCATGAACCGAGGTGCCATTGTAGATGTGCATTGTATATAAAATATAAAATTGAATTGTAAGTTCATTTATTTTTAAGGGCCGGGGATTTAGCTCAGTGGTTTCGCTGCTGCTGTGCAAGCGCAAGGGCCCAAGTTCGATCCCCGGTACCAAAAAAAAAGACAACAATATAGAATAGGAAAAATAGACTTTTCTAGAATATCACATTCATACTGACTTAATGACTAAATTTTTATCCATTATGTTCCAGGCTACTCTAGATACAAGGAAAATAGTAGAAGCTTGTAAAGCTAAAACGGATGCAGGAGGTGAAGATGCTATTTTACAGACCAGAACTTACGACTTATACATCACTTATGATAAATATTACCAGACACCACGACTATGGTTGTTCGGCTATGATGAGGTAAAAATGAAAAGATGTATGTTTCAATGTAAATATTTTAAATTGTTGGATTTAATTCCTTTGTCAGAGCCATGGGTCTATGTGATGTTTTAAATCTTAGAAATCATTTGCTTTACAGTTTTATGATTAATATTGAACTTGATTCTTACTTTGAATAAATTATTCAATGAGACACAATACTAAGAATTAGATACAAGTAATCTGTGTTTACATGTTTATTCCTTTGCCTCTAAGCTTATCCCTTTAAAATGTAAAGGAAATTGAACTTGATATATTTTATTAAATTTTGTATGGGATTATATGTATTGTATGTATAAGCTTTTCCAAAATGATCATGTCACATGTGTTTTTCCCTTAAGACTTCTTTAACTTATTTGAATAATTGAAATAAGGTCAGCTTTTTAAAAAATCTGTGATTCTTATAACTATAAAAGGAAACAAATAAAGCAAAATAGGCTTAAAAGATTAGTTATTAAATTTTAAAACGTTTCAATAGCCACATACTTGTCTTTTTGTGGAATCTGTGTTAGGTGGCTGATGTCACATAGTCTAGATATGCAAACTCCTTCACCCATCTCCTCCCTGTCTTGATACGTTATAAACTTTACCCAGAATAATCTGGAAGTTCGAAATAGTCTGAAATTGTAATTTGCAACTGTGGTGAGGATAGGAGGATAAATATAAACACTGAGCTATAAGGTAAAAATTTTAAAATAGTGATTTCAAAGCATTCTTTATGATTTCAGCAACGGCAACCTTTAACAGTTGAGCACATGTATGAAGACATCAGTCAAGATCATGTGAAGAAAACAGTGACCATTGAAAATCACCCTCATCTCCCACCACCTCCCATGTGTTCTGTTCACCCATGCAGGTGTGTGTGTGTAGAGAATGTTTGTGTATATTTTATATATTTATTGTTTGGTAATCTATTTACATAGATCCTAACAGAAAATTTTACTTTATAAGCAAATAGAATTCTGTTTCATCTTCCTTGGAAATGTTTTGTGCTTAACTGTACATATGAGGAAGAAAGAAAGCCTCTTCAATTTATTTTAACTTCAATACATTAAGATTTTTTTGTTGTTGTTTTTCTTTGTGTATTTATACAATAGATCTTTGTGATCCTAATGCTCTTTTTTAACTCCAGAATAGCTTAGAATAGTTTTGAACCTAAGTATCCATCATTAGATAGATTTGCCCTATTGTGAGTGTATCTTTCTGAGCATGTGGAGGATAAAGTTAACCTTGTACTTTTCCTGGGTTATCTCCTACCTGGTTAGTTAAAGGAAATGAATGTATGAGGAGTTCCTGCACTCTTTTGTTCCACATTTATCCGTTTTCATGATTTTTTTTCCTTCCCTTGCTTTCTGCCTGCATTTATCAGAAAGCTGACTAATACTATTGTGTGTGTAGTAACTATAAAAAATTATCCTTTGCTCCAATAAAACAGTATGCATGGCTCAACAATCTGACTTGAGTAGAGGGGAAAATACAGTATGATTGTTTTATGTTAAGATCACCAAGAGCAAGGTTGGTTACTTCACAAATGAAATTGTGGTCTTCCTGTTTTGAACTAGTTGAGCTGTACTAATGAGATTTGTTCTTTGCTTTTAGGCACGCTGAAGTGATGAAGAAAATCATTGAGACAGTTGCAGAAGGAGGGGGAGAGCTTGGTGTTCACATGTATCCTTACCTGTACTTGTGCTTGATAGCAAAATGGTTCCTAGGATGTTTTGTTTGGAAAACTTAGTATAATGTTAAAGACACAGTACCTGTAACTTGTTTTGGCCTATCATATCTGGAAGTTCTGGTGGAAATCTTTATTTAGGATATGTTTTATTGGGATAGTTAGGTCACATTTAGTTGATTAGACTATGTTCCTTTGTATACCAGTTAACTTGTTACAGAGGCTGCCTGCTAATTTGGATAACATGAGTATCTTTTCCTTAAGTATATTTCCAGTTTAACATGTTAACAAAAATGTGTTTTCTCATCAGGTAAAAGTAGTTAGGTTACGTCAACCTGTGGTCTCCCAGAAACAAAGAGTTCAACTAAATCAAACAGGTTAGTTTAAAAAAAATCTACAAGAACTGCTTTAGATATTTTTAAAATATAATATTTTTATTTTTCTCCAGTGAAAAGCATCTTTATTGTATCTTTTATGGGTTTTTTCAGTTTCTCATACTCAATTCTTAGGTTGATATGAGAGATAAATTAAAGTTGATGTCCAAGTAGGTGGTTAGATGCTGAAATATATGCAACCATAGCATGGATTCATCAAAAGCATTCAAACTCAGTAAATTAGATGCTGAATAGCTTGAGTTATCTTAGTTTGTACCACTCTAATTAGATGTAGTAGACTGAAGGATCACCAATGTTTTGAAGCTACAGATAGCTTAAGCATTCCTAATAAAGCATGTTTTTCAGAGCAACTTTGGGTTGATTTGATATGGAAACAAACCAAGAACTTTTAATCCAAACCAAATTTATTATGAAAACTTCTTATATATAATTTTCATTCATCTCTTAGGTTGGAGGCTAGGTAGCTAGTTGGAGTACTGTCTGTGTAATTAATAGTAATGAATCATTGATTTCCCCAGTGAAAATTACAGCTGTTAGTGTTTTTAGGTACAATAGAACATAAAAAAAAATTCACAGGTGTATTAATGAAGACAGTCCAATATATTAAATTCTGTGCCAAGTACATCTGTAATCTAGATTTAGTTCATTATGAAGGGTTTCATTTAATTGATTTTTTCTTTTGCTATAAGGCTCTAATACTCTTTTCCTTTATAAGTTCTAGCAAATTTAAAAGCAGTAAAGAGGCAGAGTAAATGAGTAAATTTTATATTCACTTAAAGATGGACAATCTTGTTCTTATTTTTTATATCAAAGTAATTGGGTCTTTGTGAACTTCTCATTAAGAAGTTTCAGCTAGGTGTGGTATGTACATGCCTATAATCCAGCATCCTGGGAAACTGAGGCAGGAGGATTCCAAGTTGAGCCTATCTTAGGAACTTTCCAACTTGGTTAGACCCTGTTATAAAATTTTAAAAGGCGAGGGTGGGGTATAGTTATAGCTCAGTGAGAAGACTGGGTTCAATCGCCAGTACAAAAAAACCCTTTCAAATTCAGATATTGAAATAGGTGATCAGGCAGTCTTAAACTTGTGGAGAGCCTCATGTTGAATAGACACAAATTTGTATAACTTTCATGATTAGATTTCTTTAATAGATTTGATGTAAAATTTTGTCATATGCTTTTTTTTAATGGATAATTACAATATAGGCTTAAAACATAATTATTTGCCAGTCTTATTTTCCTTAACAAAAATCCTTTAGGTATCTTCTAATTTTTTTGAAATTTGTACAAGCTGTCATTCCAACAATAGAATATGACTACACAAGACACTTCACAATGTAACAAAGAGAACGTAGAATCTATCCTAATTATTGATTCTGATTTTTGAAGAATTAACCTGTAGATGTGACCATTGACCATATTTACCAGTATGTACAATTTCTCTAATAAAGGGAGTTATATGTTTGTGCATTAAATAAAAAAAGTTCCAGTACTAGCCTTATTTGTTTAATAAAAATGAATGTGAAGAGACAGTCTTTTCTTTTTAATCAAGGTTATGGGATTTCCCCAAAATAACACTCTTTAAGTGAATATAAAGCTCATATAGAATGATGAGTGTTTTTGGTGCACGTAAGAGGACAGTTTAAATAGGTAATAGTGTTCAAGCTAGTACTAGAAAATACTGCATTCTAGATTGTGTCTTCATTTTGTTCCTTTTGTTTTTCCCTTGCTTACTCTCTCCTTAAGTCTCCTGTCTGCTAATAATTAGTATTTATGAAGCACTTACTATATGCCAGGAAATACACTAAGTACTGTTGTTTCTTGATTTATTAAGTTGGTATCATCAACATTAGTTTTTACTAAGAATTCAGGACTATTTTTCCTATCGTGATTGTCTGGTAAAATAGTGGAATTTGAAGGGGATCCCTTTGTTGTGTTAAGTTTGTAGGTCTGGTTATAGCAGTTCGGAGAGCCAGGTGGTATACTGTGGAACAGTATACTTTGAGCCAAAGAGTAAAAACCAGGACTGAGGCCCTTTGACTTTTTTTTTCTTTAACAGTCTCTTTCCCTACATTGCCTCTCATTTCTGTTTATTGTAGTCTGTAAAAAGTGGAGCGGCTAGTCTTTTCTCTAAGGAACGTTTGTTTTGTTTTATTTTTCCTCATCATTTAAGAATGCTCTACTTCTCTTTAATGCTTTTTAATGTTCCTCCCTTTTCCAATTGTCCAATTTTATAAGGAAAACTCCATAGTGAAGATAACAACTTAATGGAAGTAATGTGGAATTTGATACGGTGTGATATGAAAACATAAACATGGACCTCATCCCGATATACTTCAATATCCTGTTTATGGCTGGGCACAGTCCTTCATGTCTAGATTTGGGATTCTAAGGCAAGAGGAACGTTTAAGAAAAGAGGTCAAGACCAGCCTGCAATGTAGCAAGACCCTATCTCAAGAAGATTCTAGACAAATACACTGATTGCTCATATAACCAGCAATCCAGTCACCTGTCTTAATCTTCCAAACTAATTTTACTAGAATGCAACTATTAATATTTTCTGTCACTGCATATTTTTTCAAATAACGTTTTAATTTCAGATGTTTTTTCCAATTAAAATCTCTTTATGAATCCCCAAACATAAAAAATGGGTATATTGCCATAAATGTATTTTTTTATGAGTTCAGATTTATAGCATTCATTAGAACTAAGTTTTTGATGAACAATGGACCTTTGTTGAGCTTAAAACTGCAATTCAGACTATGGATCATCTTATCAGCCTTTTTGTTGAATTTATATTAAATTTCAGTTTCATAGTATTTTATTTCCCAAGGCATAGCAAATAGTAACTTTTATTTTGAAATAATTTTAGATTTATAGAACAGTTCCAAAGGTATCACAAAATCCTGTATACCCTTCACCTAGCCTTTCTAATGCTAAGATCTTATATAACCATGATCTATATACTGTGTTATGCCTTAAATATGAACTATCCCCCAAAGACTCCTCATGTATTGAGGGTACTAACCGCATCAATGGATTAACCGATTGTTGAGTTGATAGCTGAATGGGCTATCAGGTAGGGCCCAGTGCGAGGAGGTAGGTCACTGGGGATGCTCCTTTGAAGGGAGTGCTCCTTTGAATGGAGTGCTCCTTTGAAGGGTATATCTTCTACCTAGCCCCTTCCTCTCTTTGGGTTTTTCTGTTCATTCAGCTTCTTGGCTGCCACTAAGCAGGTTTCCTCCACCATGCCATTTCAGCCTTGGAGCCACTGGGCCTTGAAACTGAAACATCTGAAACCATGAACCAAAAATAAACTTTCTTCTTTAAGTTGTGTATGGCAGGTATTTTGTTCCAGTGATGAAAAGCAGAGTAATACAGTTAGTACAACTGAGAACTTAAAGTTGAATAGAATATATTAGATACCAATTTTATTCATAATTACCAAGTCTTTATTAATGTCTTTTTTGTATTCTAGAATCAAAATGTAGGATGCCACTGTGCACTTAGTTGTCATGTGCTTGCAGTCTGTTATAGTACCTGTCTTTTTATGTCTTCTATGACCTCAATACTTTCAAGAGTAATAGTCAGAAATTTTGCAGTATTCCTTATTTGAGTTTGATGTTTTCTGATGATTAGCCTGAGAGTATGAATTTTGGTGAATACCACAATAGTGGTGTACTCCTCTCTTTATATTATATAAGAAATTACTTAGTTAAGATGGTGTCTTCTAGGTTTTTCTACTATAGAGTTACTATTTTTTTCTTTTTCATTGTTAGAAATTAGTCTCATGTAGAAGTTTATAGCCTCAAAATGAGAGGAGTTAGTCTTTGCATTCTAGAGAAAGGACTATCAAAGAATATGTGGTCAATGTTAAAACCACCATGTAATTAGTAAATTTTGGGAGAAATACTTTGAGGTACCACCATTAGCCAGTTTCTCATTAGTTTAATACTTTTTTAGCACTTATCAGTGGACCTTCCTTGAAACTGGATCTTTCCTGTAGTGTTCTAATGGTGCATCTGGTTTTTTGGGGTTTTTTTTTTTTGCCTATACCACACTTGCCTTGATAATTATAATAAACCTTGAAATTGAGTACTGTATTTCCAATTTTCTTCTTATTTTAAGGAACTGATTTGACTATCATAGTTTCTTTGCTTTTGCATATATATTTTAGAATCAATTTGTATTTTTAAAAACCTTATCAGGATTTTGATTGGAAGTGCCTTGAGTCTATAAGAGAATTCACATCTTAGTAAGATTGAGTCTTCAAATCTATGAATACAGTATATCCCCCATTTATTTAGATTTTCTTTCAAACTGCACATACTTTGTTAAATTTATAGATAAGTACTTTATGATACATATATATGAACACAATTGACCTTCATACTCAGACTGATCATGTATCCTGAAACCTTGCTAATTTTTAATTTAGTAGTTTTTAGTATAGATACTTTTAGCTTTTCTACATAGACAATTGTGTCATATACAAATACAATATATAGTGCTTTCTAATGTATTATTTTTTCTCCCGACCCCATTGAACTGTCTGGGAACTATTGACTAGGAGTGATGAGATGGGACATCTTTGTCTTGTTCCTGATAGTGAGAAATAGCAGTTTCCCACTCTTAAGCAGAATGTTAACTGCAGCCTTTAGGTAATGCCCTTTGCTGAGAGTATCTATCATAAATGTTCGATTTTTCTACATCTTTTCAGATGGTCATTTTTTTTTTTAGGTTTGGTCTGTTAATTTGATAAGTTAACATTAGTTGTTGAGACAGCCTTGCATTTCTTGAATGAATACCATATTATCATTGGAATTTATTATCATCTGGAATTTAGTTTTCTAAAATTTCATTGATGATTTTTATATATGTGCTCACCAGAGATACTGACCTGTGGTTTTCTTCAAATGTCTTTGCTTTGGGTTTTTGAGTGACGCTAATTATGAATTGGGAATCATTTTCTTCTCTTTTCTGGAAGAAGTTGTATAGAATTAGTTTGCTGGTGAAAGCGGGGCATGGATATTTTTGTCAAAGCTTTTGAATGTAACCTTTACAGGATAATCTCCAGTGAATTTGTTAATTTATGTTTTTTTCAAAGAATTTGTTTCTGTAGTGAAGATGGAAGGGAGAGTTCCTGGTGGATTTTCTGCTTCTGTCATGGCCACCGTTCCTCTTTCAGTTCAGTACCACAATAGATACTTCTTAATTATCTTTTCCTGTGAGTGCCAGGTAGATGTTGTAGGCCATTTTAGCTGAACTACCCTAGGTGGGCTTGTGTCACTTCTGGTGTATTAAATTTTAGACCTTTTATTTGTTCTGCAGTCTCAGGCTTTGCTTAAAGTCTTGAATATGCAGTTAGTCTTGCTCTCTGTTTTGTTTTTTGGCTGTAAATGTGAAAACAACACATTGTTCCAGCTTTCTACACCCTGAGGCAAAAGTCTTATGTTTGCTTACAACAGCAATTCAATTTCAAGATATATTACTCAGTCAAGATAAATACTGAGAAATTTTCTGCCCTGTGTACATAAATAATTAACTTTGGAAACATAAGGTAATATGATGGTATGCAGTATACTAAGCATTTACTGTACAACATTTTGATGGCTTATATTTTTTAGCAGTTTGAAAAACAGTACATTTGTTAAGTGTAATTCAAATAAATCAGTGATTTGAGAGTTCCCAAAGCACTCTGTGAAACCCACTTGTCTAAATAATACATAGTTCATTTTGTAGGATTTGGGCTTCCATTTCAAAAAAAGCAACCAATAAACAATGCTGTGGTCTAAAAAAATATTAAGGAGGTGTTATAAGCATGAATTCAAGTCAGTTGATTCATAGGTAAAAGTTATTACTTGTTAAGTTACAAAATGAAAGATGCTCTAGACTGACAGTTTCCTACTTCCAAAGAAAGATATAAAGGAGTATATATTAAACCTGCCCAGATTAGAGTATGAAATTAAGTCCAAACTTCTTTTGGGGGGTACCAGGGATTGAACCACTGGATCTTGTGCTTACGAGGCAGGCAGTGGCACCACTGAGCTAAACCCCCGGCCCTAGGTCCAAACTCTTATGAAGTATAAAATTATAACTTTATAGAAGAAAATGTGGGGAAATATCTTGTGAATAAGGATTTTACAGGGCTTCTTAAACACCAGCCCCACCCCACCGTCCTGTTACTTGTTTGGCACGGGCCATAATACACAAATTTGATGAATGCAATTATCCCAAAATTACAGAGTTTTTCAGAAAAGATACTAGACAGATTTAATAGTTAAATGACAGTTTGGTGGAGGATATGTGTAAAGTCTAAAACTGACAGGACTCATTTTTAGACTATACAGGGAATTCCTTCATAATAACAAAAAACTGGGGTTTTGGTTAATCTGTTGTTCTATAAAAACTACCTAAAGTGTAATAGTATGAAACAATAATTATCTCTCACCTTTCAGGTAGTCAGGGAATTTGGGAGTGGCTTGGTACTTAATGTGTTTTATGCTAAGGAACTTCTAAATTTGAGGC